TAACTCACGTCGATCGGTCATGTCAGTATTGTAAGACAGATGTGTCACTTACAGTCGTATTGTTAGTAATGAATCATGCTTGTCATCCATAGGAAAAGTTATTGATAGGCAGAAAATTATTTTTTTGGCAGTGTAAGTAAGCCCAGAAAAATATAGACTTTATTTCCCTAAATAACATGTCAGAAAGGATGATTTTAATTAAAGAAAAAAATCTTTTTTGAGAAAAACAAAAAGACTTATCTACTATTCTTTCAAAAAATATGACTAATAATTTCCTTCAGAGCGATGAATATGATGAAACAAATGGAATAACAAACCGTATTGCAAAAACTGTTTTCGTAATGGCTTAAAATAGAATATAAATAAAAGGAAGAGACCACGACAAGAAAAGAATAAAAAAGAATAAAACACCGAAAAGAGGAATGAGAAAAAAGAGCAAGAACGAGTCGCGGCACTCACCAAGTTCTGCAGCGCCAGGAGTTGGTCGCGCGTCGTGTTCAGGTCCCTGAGGACGCCCTTGAGGTCCTCCTGCTCCCAGGGATCGAGCGAGCCCTTCTCCCGCGGCCACTGGTCCAGCGTGGCCTCCCGGACGAGGCTCGTGGCCGGCGACGAGTTCTGGCTTCGCCCTTCGGGTTCTCGCGAGCCTTCGTCAGTCGTCGTCGTCGCTGTCGTCATCCCGCCGCCTCTCTCGTCGCCCAGATAGTCTCGCGGGCTGTCCTGGGTCTCCTGCGGGGTGGTCACGCGGCTGCTGTTGCTGCTGGGACCCGCTGCGGCGCCGGGGATCTGCGGTAGTTTCCTGCGGCCGCTCATGCGATGGATGGTGTGGTACCTGGTGCGAAGGGGACGGGCGAGGCAGTCAGAGGGAGCCCTTGTACTTTTGCGCCTCTGGACTTCTTTTAAGACTTATTCTAAGTTTGTGTGATGAGGTTACTTTAAATCCTGAATATCGACCTACACCTGATTAGTAGTAAGTGTGTAGGTGCATTCAATAACAGCGTTTCTATATTTTCCATGACCTGTTCGAACGCCAGGGGCCGACCTACCTGAAGGGGTTGTCGCTATCGTCGGCGGCCGGAGCCTGCTTCTGTGGGGCCCCGGGCGCGGCGAGGGATTCGGGAGGCGGCTGGAAGTTGGCGTCCTTCCTGGTGAGGTCCTGCCAGAAATTGAGCGCCGCGGGCCGCGTGTTGCCGCCACGGGAGCCGGAGGAGTCGCGGCGTGGGGACGAGGCCTCCGCGTCGCCCTCCATCGACGTGTTGAGCGACGTGTTGAGCGACGCGTTGAACGACGAATTGAGAGGGTCGTCCGACGACTCGTCCAAGTTCGGGCTGGGCTTGGGCGGTACGACAGGAGCGCCGCCGGGGCCTCTGCGGGCGTGCGACGACGACCCACCACCCCACTGGAACTTGTGCGAGGCGCGCAACGAGTCGTATGCCCATCTGTTCGACGCAACCCTCCGCGGGAGGTTCTCGTACACAGGCGACGAGTCACGGGCGGCTGCGGGCGTCCCCGTCATACTCGGATGCCGGCGCAGCCCGACAACGCCGCCTGCGTCCTCGGCCGAGGCGCCCGTAGCCATCATGCGCCGGTTGGTACTGAGGTTGGGTGTCTTCTCGGGCGCCGTAGAGGAGGGAGGGGCGTCTGGGCCCACGCCCACGTCTGAAAGAAGAGTGCGCACGGGGGTACTGTTAAGTCTCTCTTTCTCTGTTCCTACTAATTTACTGTCTCATTTATAATCAATGTCATTATCCCTTGTCTATTTGATTACAGCGGAACTGTCTTCTTCCCATCAATTAAATGTGAATATAGTCATCATCACTCATAAATCATATATTTTCTACATTACTCTTAAAATTTCATTTGTGGTCTACATAGCACAGTCATAATTCTTATTCAAAGATTGTCATATATGCTCAAAATCATTTTCAATTCTATAACTAAAATTAGATAACGATGCTTTATATATATACCACTAATAACCTAACATTACCATCAATTCCAGCATTTCGATGACCCGACCTGGCCTGGTGCTACTTACCATGTGTGGTGGGGGGCGGCGCGCATCCCGAGGACCTTCCTGACGGAGCGGAGGACGTCGTGGCTTGCCCGGCGACGACGGCGGAGGAGGAGGACAGAGGAGAAGATTCTTGGTGATGCTGAGGAGACGTCGAGGAGTTGCTATTGTTGTTGTTATTGTTGCTTCCCTTGACGCTCTGGGGCTTGTAGTGCGCAGCCAGAGCGAGAATAATGCGCATGACGCTTTTCAGATTGCCTTCCACAACCTCCTTACTGGTGATGTGCGTCATGCGAATCCTCTTGGCGGCCATGAACTGCAGAACACGGTCCAAGTTCTCGCGCATGACCTGGGGAGAGTCCACGGCCCTTGTCACCCCCGCTACGTGCTCGCCGGCTGCGTGGGAAGAAAGAGCTTGGTTAAAAAAAAGTTCTATGGGAAGGTTTGGTTGGGAAAAAGTCGAATTAAGGAGGATGCCGTATTTTGTTTTCCTTTTTCTTTGTGGGGACTTGGGATCGAGAAGGGAAGGAAGGGAGGGAGGGTAGGGAGAATGAAGAAAAAAGAAGGAAGGGAGGGTAAGAAGAAAAGAGGGAGAGATGGAAGAAGCAGGGAGGGAGAGAGGGAGGGAGAGAGGTAAGTAGGTAGGTAGGTAGGTAGGTAGGTAAGTAGGTAGGTAGATAGGTAGGAAGGGAAGGAGGGATTAAGTAAACAGGAAAAGGGCGGGGAAGGAATATAATGAAGATATAAGTCATCCCAACGAATCTCTCCAATCACCTGAACCATGCTTTATGGCGTGAAAATTTTAACAAAACGGCGATACTCACAGATGATTTCGATAAGGTCCGCAAATACAACTCCACTCTGAAGGTCACGTCGCAGGTCGGATATAAGCGGTCGACCTCGTTTCCGCAGCTGAGAGTTCACCCAAGCCACGTAAGCCTGTTATTGGGGGACAAAGAGAAAGATGAGAGAATTATCGTCATATATTTTTTTCTTTTATCTCTATGTTTTGTTGTGTGGATGTCTCGTTTTTTTGTCATTGTGTGTCTTCATGAAATTATTGTGATCATAATCTAAGATCTTTATTTCACATAATAGATGAGTGTTATTTTTGTTTGTTTAACGAGCAATTTTTTCTGGTTCTAAATAAGAGGTCAGGTTTGTTGTAGAAAGGTGGATTATCTTTGTGATTCTGGGGGAAAGGTGGATCGAATAAGCCAATGCTGTGGAGCGCGCGATCCTCACCTGCAGCTGCTGCGTCCACTCCATCCACGACACTGAGGACGAGGTGGAGGGGCAGCCGTCCCCTCTCCTCTCCGGCTGCGCTCGGGCGGAGGGAGGCCTCTGCCCCCGGTGCTCGTCCATCACCTGGAGGCCGTCGGCGCCGTCAGCGTTCCTGTCCCTGCGCTCGTAGGCGGAGGCGGCGGGCATGTCCCTCACGCGCAGGGCGTCGCCGCGGTTGACCCTCGCCTCTTTGGCCGGGTCGACGCCGCGCTCGCTCGTGTACTGGCGAGAGTCCCTGCGGCCGCGTAGCCTCTCCTGCAGACGGGGCTCCAGGTCGTCCTCGAGGTCGTCTGCGTCGTCGACGGAGAGCTCGCGGAAACCCCTGTCATCCCGCACCTCCAGGTAGCTCCCCCTTTGGTCGCGGGAGTCCCTGAAGTCCCTAGGCAGGCTCGTCTCTCTGAAGCCCCTCAGCCTCAGGTTCTCTCTCGAGGTCCTCGCTTCCTGCGACTCCCTCAGGTCCTTCCGCGACTCCCGGGCGTCCCTCGGGTCTCTGAGCTCTCTCAGGTCACGCGACATTCTGTTGCCCCCGCGGTCGTCCTTGCCGCGAGCGCTCGCGTCGGGGATCTCGGCGTAGCGCGGCTGCGCGTCCGGGTACACGCTGTCGGAGAGGAGGGCCTCCTCGGGGGACGGCGCCCTCGGGGGCCCGAGGGGCGTGGAATGGTGCTGCGGTCCCCCGAGGCTGAGCGGCGAGGCTCCCCCGGGGGAGGCGTGCGGCGAACCGTGGGCGCGCGCGGGGGCGACGCAAGGCTGCTTCGCCGGCCGGATCGTCGGGTACTGCACGGGGGAGGGGGAGGAGGAGGACGAGGACGAGGAGGAGGTGGCGGCGGAGGCGATGGACACCGGCGACGTCCTGGAGGCGTTAAGGAGGTCCTCGGTGGACTGCGAGTACGTGGCCTCGTCGGCAGGGTGAGGGCACGCCCCGCGGCCGCCGCGACCCCCGAGGGAGTCCAGCGAGCGCGGCCCCCCGCCGTCGCCCGCGCCAGGGGGAGTGAGCGAGTCGAAGCCCGAGTCGAGCTCCCTGGAGGGCCAGTGCCACGCCTCGTAGGCCCCCCGCGGGAGGGACGCGGTCTTGGCGTCCTCGGCCCTCTCGTCGCGGGGGAATTCCTTCGTGTTCCTGCGCTCCCACGACTCGCGGATGTCTCGGAAGTTGCGTCCGTCCTGCGAGTGGTCGCGGCCGTCCTGCTGCCCGCGGAAGTCCCTCGCGTCCCACTGGAGTTCTGCGGCGTCCCTGGCGTCCCTATGGTCCCTGAGGTCCCTGGGGTCCCTCAGCTCCCGCTCGCGCCCCTCCCGGGGCTCCCGCGCGTCTATCTTGGGCGGCGGCGGCGGCTGGTAAGGGCCGCGGCTCGACCGCCTGCTGGTGGCGGGGTCGGGGGGCTGGTGGCGGGCGTAGGGCGGGGGCTGGTGTTGGGGCGGGGGCTGGTAGGGCTGCCTGGAGGCGGGGGGAGGGTTGGAGGGCGAGCGGAAGCGGGCGCCAGGCTCCTCTCTCGCGAAGCCTCGCCGGGGCAGCGTGCACGTCCCCGGGGCCTGCAGGGGGCGCTGCTCCTCCTGGCCGGGCACGGGCGGCAGGGGCGGCTGCGGGTGCTGCGACATGGACTGCAGGGCTGAGCCGTGGGGGGGCACGGGCGGCGGGGGGTGCGACGGGGGCGGGGGTGGGCGGGACGACGGCAGCGGAGGGGGCGTGTCGCTGTCCAGGCCGCCTGACAAT